TGAAAAGTGAAAGAGATAGGTTTAGGAACAAAGACACCAAGAACTTCCTAAACCATATGGGTGGGTGGGCGGTGAGAGAAAAAATTTAAAATGATTTAGTAATGATTTAGTAAATTGTTTGTGTTCTGGAATGATTAGTGAGATTGTTGCGGATGGAGGGAGCTATGTTGCGGCGGGTTAAAAGAGACTTTATCAGATCTCAATGATAAAACTCCGCAACCAAAATAGTTTTGTCTTGGACTGGGCCAAAAAACTATTTTGGCTCCGCCTGAGAAACAATCCTTCCGTGCACATGGATCCCACCACCTTCTCCTAGTGCCTTGATCAGGTGCTCTACATCTCATCATGACCCAGGTGGCCGGACTAGACTGGCCATTGATTGCATGCATCCATATCATACACCCCTCAACCCATGACTTAACTCATTGCGGTAATCAAGTGGATACACTCTCCCTCCATTCAATGACCGGTCAACACCAGCCATTGATTGAAGTGCACACACCAGACTTCATGCTCAATCACAACTGGTCATTCACCAACATCCAAAATACTCACCTCCATTGATGACTGATCAATAGAAGTCATTGGTGGTGGAAATGTGGATGCAGAAAACACCAGGAAACCTCATCTAGTCCAAATTTTGGAACACATTTGCATGAGCCCTTGGCACCGGAATTCTCTGAAAAACCTCATTACTGCAGGGTTGAAATCTGCCTTTTCAGGCCCTGAAGATGTTAAACCAAGGTTTTTCTCCATTACATTGTAGAGGGCTCATGATTCATTGAGCAACGTTTCAGGGGTTTGCAGGTGAATCATTGTGTGAAAAATCTTGATGTTAGTGATAGTTGAATCAGTTTAACTCAGAAACACCCAAAATCTGTGCAAGTTGGATCAGGTGAACCCTTGTATTGGATAGTTGTCCAATGCTATGTATCCATCAAGTTTCTCTCAAAACATGTCCCTGGGCTAGCTTAACAAAGCCTCTCCCGGGGCATCCCTGCGGGACACTCTCTGTAGGAGAGGCTTGTGAATTAATTCAAAACTTTGGGGCTGGGGCAGGAATTTTTGAAAAAGAACTAGTTTGCTCAATTTGAAGAAAAACTGAATAGACAGTTTCTTGTGCTGCCTTGTCAAGCAACATTGGTCAAAAATATGAAGGGGAATAACCCAAAATGACTGAAGAAATGCATTTGAAGGGATGTGGGAATCAAGAATTATCAAACTTAGCTTGGAGATTCCTCTGAGAGAGTTTCCAAAGATTTGCCAAGTCTGAAATTCTATTTTCTAAATTTGTTGAAGCTCTCATGTGTCAAGGGTGCTGAGAGTGTGACTCATAGTCAAAATCTTGCTTGTTGCATCTGCAAGGTGGCAGGCTAGAAAATATTTGGGAGATTGCCTTGCCAATCATGGTGGATCTGTGCTTTGAGTTTTGAAGGAGAATGCTTTTTTATTATTTTCAAAAATTTATGGAGGGAGAACCATTACAATTTACAAACGATTGGATGAGACCACATCCAAATGAAAGCTCACCCACAAAATATTTATTTGGCTCTGGGGCAGGGTTGTGGAGCATTGGGACAAGGAGTGTGAAGCTTAACAAAATCCACTCCAGCCATTCATGTTTCCTGTCCCAGCCAAATTCCACCCCTGTCGACTGACATCTGGCTATTCAATAGCCCTCGTACACTGAGTACGAAGGCTATACAAGGTCATCTGAGATGACCCTCGCCGTCCCTCGCCCCGCCGGCTGAGGTTTACATAATCAGCTCGTCCGAACTCGCAAGCAAAGCTCCTTCGGCTTCCATCGCTGCGCAACCACTGGGCATCCCAGCATTGCAGAGATTTGCCGGTAACCGGGTACCGCTCCGGCATACAGGGTACATACCTGCCCCAAGCCCTCTTGTGCTTGATGGCCGTTCTAAACGGCCATCGTTGAGAGAGCAGTCTCTTCGATGACCGTTCTGATCCGCATCGCTGAGGCCGAGGGGACACTCCTCAACGACCGCTCTGAACAACATCAGTGAGGCCAACGCTACGCTCCTCCGCTCCTCAATGGCTGTTCCGAATGGCAGCGCTGGGGCCAAGGGTACAATATTCTTCAACCGCTGTTCTGAATGGCCATTCTGGAGAGTGTACTTGCAACAATGGCTGTTCAGAAAGGTCAATCTCATGGAGAGAGTGTGATTGTCTGGTACACTCCATGACAATGAAGAAAAAAATTGATCCTTGACAAACACCCCAGATAGGTAACCACTTACCCAGATAGTTGAAGTATCATCTAATTTTCAACTTAGTAAGGTCGAATGAGATCAAGATCATTGCAATAAATCTTTAAACATCAGTAGTAGTAACAATAATTACAAAGCAAAAAAACTCAACAAAAGACAGTAAAAGGAATAGAAATAATGATGAGATTTTACCTGCTGAAGTGAAAGACTGGACCAGACAGAATCTATTGCACATAGTAAACAATGAATAATGGTGTAACTTGAGCTAGAGAAATATTAGCAAGAGCCAGAAATAGAAAAAAGACCAAGGGCCATTCTAAGAGCCCAATATGTATGTACATCTACTTTCTCCCCCTGAGATGTGATTCTCTTCCTGGTGTTGATACCTGATGGAATTACTGGGCTGACGAATTAAATTGAGGAAAGTGAGTTGATCAGTGAATTCAACAGACTCAGGTTAAAACTCAAAAGTATCTCTGAACTTTGCTGTTAATGTCTTCTTCTCTTGGAAGCTTCTGGTTGTTCTTTGTGATGGAAATAAAAGCAATGATTAAATGAGATTCAAAAGGAGATTCAGGTTGATGATGTGGATATCCACTTCTTTCAGATGTGAGCTACTCTGCAGAGGCTAGAATCAGCTCAGTGGAAGTTTACTGGTATGGACCAGTGGTTCCAACCCATAGAAGGTATTTCCTCTAGTCCAAGGTGTCCTCACCCAGCCATTGATATATTTTTGAGAAGTTAAGAATAATACTGATTCCAGACAGCAATATGTTGATTTGAGAGGAGGATTTGAATTTAAACAATAAAATATTGATATATTTCAAGTCCAAGAGGAGTTTTTAAATAAAATGAGGTTTATTTTTTGTCCCTTCTGAAATTATGGGGAATAATAGAATTTGGTAGGTACAACTTTTTATGTCAGGCTAAGGAAGGTTGACCAGATACAAGCATATGAAAAGCATTTCAATAATGTGATAAGTTCACTGAATGAGCACAAGGGGACAAAAGTGCAAACATTTTATCTTAATCATCATTGAAAGTTGAAAACTGCTAAAGGAGATTTAATGTTAGTGAAGATTCAAGTTGGAAACAGGTGAAAGAAATTCACACTAATGAAGATGCAAGTTGAATGCTAACCAAAAGACCAACAAAGAGAGAACAAGTTTCTGATTTCTTTGGGTGATCAGTTTGGACATCATGAGATTTGATTTCTTTTGCAAGTCAACTTGCTTTGAGTTGTTATAATTTGATGTCTTAGTCCATGGGTGAAGTTGGATATTTATAAAAAAAAATTGAAAGTTCAAAAAATTAGATTGTGATCAAGATTGCAAGTAGAATACTGATAAAAAGAAATTTTAAATTTGGTCACATTCAATCAACACTTAATCTTGACCAGCAACATTCAATCTTGATCAAGATTGAAAGTGAACATTCCTACAAAGGAATTTGAAGAACATTGTTAAAAAGAAATTTGATGCTAATGAAGAACACATTGTTCATTTTTGAAATCATCTAGTTATGTAATGTGTTTCAAATTGCTTCAAATTGACCAATCATGTCTATTACTTACTAAGTGAAAGATTTGTTATACATCAAGCAGTTGGATTATTATAAAATATATAGAACAAAAACTCTGGGTTTGTGTAAGTATTGTAAATCATGTAAAAAGACCTGGGTTACCCCACATTAAATAATCATCTTGCCTGTATCAAAACCAAGGCCCCATTTGGACAGTGCAGCATAAGCTGTTTTTTTTTGAACAGATAACTAGATGTTTGCCAGAATTCAATGTCTTGCCTTTGAAAATTTGGCTTTGTAACATGATTACATAGGAACTCTGAACTCAATCTCTATCAGTTATCAGTATTTATCTTACTATTAATTTGACACTCAAGTCATTGGAAAAAAGTGGAATAAGTGCAATTCCATGCTCAATGGGAACATTTGAATCACTGGCTTGCTAATTGATCCATACACAGGGTTGTGAATAATTCCTAAAGGTGGTACATCCAAGAGGATTCCAAATCAGCCACACAATTATAAGGAGATAGACCTGATACACCCAAAAACCTCAGGCTTGTACTTAGATTTGGATTGAGGAAGAAGCTTGACAAGTAAGAAAAATCAGCTCAGTGGCAGCTCTCAAGGGTAACAATGAACAAGTATTCAATCCAAGGATGTAGCCTTGTATAATTTTCTTTACTGAATTGACAAGGGAGCGAGCTCTAGGACAGTGACACAATTGGCGAAACGGGTGAGGTTCCCTATACAAAGCAGATCCAATCAGAGTCAGAAGTGAGGTCATCAGCAAGTGGGAAGAATCAAAAAACTAGCCAACGATTGACACAAGTTTACGCTTACCTGATCATTAGAAAACAGCCTGCACCCGAAGCTCTTTGTCATCTTCACCATCACCGCCATCTAAAAGAACTTCATGTTCAACGCCTCCTTCTCCGGTATCCGAGTGTCCAATCGGAATGAGAACCTAGAGCTGGATCGGTTGTCCAACATCTTTTGAGGTACAAGGGTGCACGGGTGGGATTTGGGACTGATGATGCCGATGACAGCAGCTGTGCAATGCTGTGATGCCCTGCGGTTGCGCAGCGATGGAAGCCGAAGGAGCTTTGCTTGCGAGTTCGGACGAGCTGATTATGTAAACCTCAGCCGGCGGGGCGAGGGACGGCGAGGGTCATCTCAGATGACCTTGTATAGCCTTCGTACTCAGTGTACGAGGGCTATTGAATAGCCAGATGTCAGTCGACAGGGGTGCCAAATTCTTAATAATACGCAAGTCCCACCCTCCTGCAGAAAAACTGACTGCAGGCGAGGGACTTGTGATAAGTGTCCCTCAGCCTGGGCCCTGGGGGTGTCGGCTGTTTTGAGCAAGCCCCTCCGTTCGACAGGCTTACATAAGTAAGCTCGCCGGTTGTGTCAGTCCTCCTCGGCTTCCGTTTCCTTCCGTTGCCCTCCCGAGTGACTCTCAACCCGCCGGTAACAAGAACGATAACGATGGCCGCCAAGCACTGCCTGCTGAAGCCGAGCTCATTAGGAATCAAACTCCGACGCACCTATTGGACAGCGACCACTTTCCGGTCGGGTTCACCCCAAAACTTGGTCGAGACAGTCCAACAAACCATCACGTCGTTCGCATTTAGCGCACCAACAGGGGTAACAGCCGGACCCTCGATCCTACTCTTCACGATTTCTAAACGTATTCCATCCAAATTTCTGGCAAGCCTGGTCCAAAGCTTCCAAGACTTGGTACCCTCGATTGAGCCGATTGGTTGTCTCACTGAGGATTCCTCGATCGGTCTTCATTCCGTCTCGATAGCTAGATGGTCTGGGGCAGCGACCGAATTAGTACCGTTCACCTCGAGCATCCGATCTCGCGCTTCTATCTCTGTCGGGCGAGAGATTCTTCCCTCTGATAGAAACGATTCAACGGCCGATTACATGGGTCAGGCTCATCAGGTTGGCGCCGAATCGGATAACGTCAATTTATTGCCCGAAGAGCTAAGAAGAATACCGTCAGCATGCTTGATGGACCTTTTTGAGTGACCTATACAAGCAAAAAATCGTCCTGATCTTCTTTGTCTTACACGTACATACATCACCTTAAAGACAAAGCTCGATCGATAGTTTGGTCTTTTTTAGTGCACCCTCGCCCCAACCATTCTTGAACACCCTCCAAAGAACATTCCCCTCGGCTAATCTGATGGGACTCGTTGGCTCTTCCACCGCTTTTGAAACCGGAAGACAGTCTACCTTGTTTAGAAATCGCACCATCTTGGGTGAACATGGGGCCGTCGGAATCGCTATTCTCAAACCAGTTAGTAAATCATTGACCAGTCCTGTAGTCAAGTATCAGAATATGGAGACTCTTGGAGCACCTATGCGAGTTACCGAGTGAGGTTTCAGATTTTTTCTTTTTTGAAGAGTGCACCACGAATTGAAGAGACTATCAACGGTCATATTTCAGGGCACAGGGCAATATCATCCTGACATTAGATTCGAAGAGGGCAACCGGGTATCTTCTTGAAGTGATCAGGAACTCCGACCGTATAAACGAATCACAAACATCTTCAGAGTTGATTATCAGCAAAGAAAAAGAATTTTATCTTGGATTTTTGGATGAACAAAACGTGATTATCTTGTTGACTGAAAAATTCGGATAGCAGCAGTATGGCTGAACCTCCCAAGGTCTTATTCATGCTGCTTTTCTTATAGCTGGTCGTTGAAGTTTGTCGGATTATTGGCGGGTCTACTAGTCGTGGTACAATGGCTCTCGACCGGGAAAGAGAAATCAAAGTCAATCAGATGGTCCAGGTAAGTCTGGCGCGATTTCCAATGCTAACAAATCTTGAAAGTTGATTTCTTTGATTTCGACGCGTGTTTCTGTTTAAAAAAATGAAAACGGTCCTTTCTACTCTCCTCAAGTTCATCCATTCATCAGAGCTTAGCAACGGAAACAAAATCATTGATGAATCCATACCTTCAAAATCACCAACAACATCGACAGAACCGAGGAAGATGACCTTGGAATTCGCCTGCTGTGACCCTTATTCTAATCCACAAGAGCAAGCTTCTATGGAAAGTAAAGAGATGGAAAAAGTTGAGAGAGTTGATGGTTTGTTTTGTGGTGGGAGTGAGGCTGGTTTTGTTCCTCGACACCAACAGATCGTTAATCTGCTTCACTCAAGAGTCCATTACTCTTTGTAAACTATAGGGTAGGTAGGACTATCTTGTGAAATCCAATCTTCCATCCCCTATCTCATAACTTTTGTTTAATCAGCGCCATTGGCAATCATTTTCGATTTCACTTCTTTCAATTGGGAAAGCTCAGGTTCCTTCAACTTTGGAAAACTTGCGTACTCAGGGAACATCCGTAAAATTCTACATAATCTAATGGTGCCATAGGAAGACTTCTTAGCTGATTATGTATCATACAATCACTGTTCAAAATCCTGGATGTACGATCATGGGAGAAATTATGGGGGGTTCAGCCGAGATCACGCACACATGCTGTAGACGCCGTTTGGACGGCCAAAATCATGTTTCATATCTGGGACTTGCAATTTTTGTTTTGAAAAAAGATGCTAGCTTTCAGGATATGATAATTCATCGCAAAGTTGATGCTCTTGCTGATTGAGAAGATTTCATGAAATCATAGCCATATTCACATTGCATTTTATTTTGTTAAGAATTGTGGCTCTATTTGGCCAACGTCATGAATGGTAAAACTAGATCAGTCTGATGAACTGCAAACTGACTGGACAGAATTGGACCATACGTCATAAAAATAGGATCAGATACAACAGTTGCCAATCGAGGCCTATATGAATCAAAACAACAACAGTTTAAATCACAAACAGAAGGATAGAAAACATAAAAGAAGCACAGCCAAAAATCAACTTGTTATTTACAATATATATTTCAAAAGATAGTGAGTGAATATATAAGAAAACTCCTTAAGTTGTAACACATTTTTTGGGTAGGCTTGGAAGTGGGCTATGATAATCAGAAAAGGCGAGACTTTGGAAACTCTTTGGACTAGTGATTGTAGTTAGTGGAGAGACTGGGCTATTGGCAGTAAAACTAGAGGTGGATGTAGCAGTGGGAGATCCGAGCGAGTCTGAAGAATTTTTATCGTTGTATTGGTGGCCTGATGGTCTGAAGGGTTGAAGGTTAATCATTTTTCTGGCTTGACAAATCTTGAAATCATTGAGACTGATTCCATCGCCATCGTGATCGATTTCAGCAAAGCAGTTTTCCTTGTTTTTAGTATTCTTGAATTCGCCGGCAGTAGGACCGCGATTCAGTTTAAGAGGTTTGCTCATATCAGCCTTAGTGGCTCGGCCCGGACCAAGGGATCGGAAGTCGGTGTCTTCTTTTTGGATCTCGGACGGGTAATCTTGGTGTCTAAAGGGCGTGATCAGATCGACCACCATGTTTTCTTCGTCGTCTCTTCCGCCTCCGAAGTAGTCGCAGTAGGCTAAGATTATCGGGCAAATTGCGGCGAGCAGTATACAGATCAACGCGATGATTCCGACTAAAATCCACGTCCAATTGAGCGTCTCGGGGTTGGATATGTGTCGAGCTATGGACACCAATGCAGATGTGAACAGAATGAAGTGTGTCAGAGATCTATCAATCGATCAAGTGGATGGATTAAAGAGCAGAGAATGACCACCAAGAAAAAAACAACACGCACCAATGATTAAAACCGTCCAGTTTGTGGGATGCGCATGGGTCCCCTCATCCGAAATGTTTGGTGAGAGAAGGCTGACGAGGAAGTAGTCCCTTCCCGATGAATGCGAAATCATTAGACTGGAGTCATTCCTACTCGCATATTCTTCGTCGCCAGGAATGATGGATGGCTTGAGCTCAGAATTGGAGATGATTGGGGTTGCAGATGCGTCTGGCTCCTAAGTTATTCATCGATTTGGCAGCATGTTGTCAGCCTACGTTCTGCAGGTACATATAACCGGAAATAAAAGAAACTTACGTGATTCTGCAAAGATAAGACTATAATAATACCAAATCAAAACATTAAAATTTAGTTCCCCGATCGTCATTGAGAATACGCGAGAAAAGATAGAAGCAATAACAAGGCGTACCTATGGGAATGAGAATAGTATTGTGATCCTTACTTGCATCCTCAACTCGGATCGAGAAGTTCAAACTAGAGCTAAGCACGATCGATTTGCGTTGGGACTGTTGCTCCTTATCCGCGTCTAATGAAGGAATTGAATCCAGATTTTCCGCGTCTTTTGAAGGCCTAACAGAGAAAGTTGGGCCAAGGTTTAGACGGTTCAAATTCTCATTCATCCCGTCTTCTTTGTCATAGCTGGCGGGGGATAGTGGGGAGGATGAGCTGTAATCTCGGGGAAGTATCGCCCTCGCGTTCGTATATTTTAGGTTGATGTTGATGGTATAAATCAAGAGGGTGACGAATGGAAAATTCATTTCTTAGCTTGTGCTATATGAACTTGTCCTGATAGTGTGCGATGATGAGTGTCCGGAGTCAGGAATGATTGTAAAACTATTTATCAAAGAATCTTGGAGGAAATTTCTGTCTAGAAGAGGCTCTCAAAGTAGCCAATCACTTCTTGTTATATGTCCCTTTGAGCTCCCGGCATACGCAGAGGTAACAGTCGGGAGCGCCAGGAAGAACAAGGATGAAATATGGTGCTTTTTCCTTTACATAACTCACCCGATTCCTTACTTTTGATTGGACTTATTCGATTGTTCTTCTTCTTTTTTTTTTTTGAATTGCTTGACGGCCGTTCACAAGTAGTGTAATGACTTTGATCACCCCTCAATTCTCTAGACAAAGGGAATATCATGTTATGCTTGAGCAGCTTTTTTGAAACCGGTGGGTTTATGCCGGTGTACATTTCTGGTGGACCAACCACGCAGATTACCACCAATCGCGCAATCTCAATACCCTCCGAGCTTTAGTACCAGTTTCCATGACTATCTCTTTGTCCTAAATAAATTGTTTTCTTCCAGTCGTCAGATTCTCACTCTTTTGGAAAGAAAGCACGGAAGTTGAATCCGAAATTGAGAAGCTCCCAGTCGATTGCACTCCGCGGGGAAGCTGTGGTCTATCCGACCGGGGCTCTACTACTTTGCGTCTAATCATGAAGTACCGGTACCGATTTCCGGTGGTTGTTTTTTTTTGTATATCGGGTTAAAAAAAATAAATCCAAACACACAGCGCCCAGAGTCAAGAGGGCACATTAGCCTCCTTCTAGTTAGACTCGAATGATCGCCATGTCGGTTGATCCACTGGTCCATGTGGCACCCGTCCCCTTGTTCTTGTCAAGTTCCTCCTTCTTCTCGTTCAGAATTCAAGACAGTTTTTCTTCTTAGGCTGGATATCATGTCAAGTTTGAAAACAGAGCTACAAGCTGAAAGGAAAGAAAAAAACTTCGACCTATCTGATTTTTTTTTTCATCGCGGTAAATCTTGCTCCTAATCTATCGATCTTCTGCCTAACAATATCGTAGTACGCCATGTTTATCTGGCCTATTAGGGCAATTCGCCTGGCCTCTGCTTCTCCCGTGAGCGCCTCGGAGAGTTTCAATTTTTAGTCGCGAGTCAAAGCGTGCATGTAGCCTGCGCCCAACAGTCAACAATTCAACGACCTGCGCCCAAGAACGAACATTTTGTTGAACAGCAGCTTTCAGTTGGGCGCAGTTGGGCTCAGGAAATGATACGACCACGCTCTTTCACAATTCAGATAAACACTTGACTTAAATAGAAGTGATGATCCGTGGCGCCGGGGTTGTTGACTCGGCTGAAGTCTATGCATACTTTAGGCGTAGTCGGTTCAATCGGCTGATCGATCATTGCAAGCAAAAACATTAATGTTCTGAAACTTCATTTGACCGGGAGCGTGTACATATTCTATGTTTCTTTGTTACAGTCCTGTCGAACAGCCCATCACCTCACACTGAGCCCCAGGCTATGCGCCTTGCTGAAACCTTTGTTCTGCGCTCCAGGCCCTTCTGGAAGGCCAATGGTGACATCATGCCAGATTCCTTTGGCAGGTTGAGAATTCTGGCAATGAAATTATTCACCCCTTGTTTGTACCGGGGACGTGTTCAGTTGATACAGGCTTGTCTGCTTGTTCCGACCAAAGGGTTGGATTGCCTTTGAGATTTCGGGGGCGGGGGATACCACCCAAGAAAGCAAACCGGTCGAGTCCCCAGTGTAGACTCGGGGTCCAAACCAGTACAATCTTCTTGAGTTTTAGGCACCCAACCCGGTTGGTGCAACTGGGGTGTACCCAATCTGGGGGGGGTAGGGTGCCGGTTACTGCGGGTACCGATCACAGTGGGCGGTCTCATAGGTACTCGCGGATACCAGAGTGCTGGGGGAAACTAAAGGCCGGCCTCCAACAGTGACTAGTAGCTCAACTAATCCTCCCCTTGGTATGAGGGGTCAGGCTATGTATGTCAGGCCTGCTGAAGCGAGATTTGTTTTGAGCTGGTATTGTAGACTGGCTGGTGTAACTCGTCTCGTGTAAAGCCCTCCGCTGGAGGCTTGCGGTGAGAGTCACTGCCAACTCGACGGTCCCCTGTTTCCTTAAGCAAGAAGTGAGGCTGTTTTTGTGGGTATACCCATGTGAAGAGACAGCTATATTTGTGGCCTTTTGAGCCTCTCAAGTATCTGCGGGCTGTTGCCAATGTTTGTGGCTAACATCTGAACATCCTGGATTTGGTACCCAATGGCCATCTTTACCCCCCAGGTCCACGCAGGAGGAGTCAAAGTGTTTTGGTACATACTCCACAAATTCCCATCTTGCATGTAAGTGTGTTGCTGGCTTGGCAATGGTCCAGGTTCTACAAATTGTCAAATCAAGCATTCCCTCAGAGTACCTGCATTCTCAAGCAAGAGTACCTCTTATCAAAAACACACATCACCTACAAAATCTACACAACATTCCTGTTTGAGTTTGCTCAAATAACAACCATTCTTGAAACAATACTAAAAAAGTAAACCTCCAAAGACAAATTGAGATGAATGTGCAAGAATTTTTACAAGTTAATCATTTCATGAACAGGGGAGACACAAGCCTGCTTCTTAAGTCTTTGAAATAACCGGCACTGCCATTTTGTTTCACAAGAAATAATTCAGAAAACAACATCTCTTAACAGAAAAATCTGTACCTCAGTATTTGTGAAACCTCCCCATACTAGATTTCACAGACTCAATCACGCATCTTACATAATCACCCCAACAAACAGATTTACTTATACTAGACAAAAATTTCATTGTTCCTAATTTGGTAGAGAATACTAACCCTTACCTCTACCAAACTAGGTGAGTTATTTCCTATTTTTCCTTCTTCAGTGATTTTCAATTATTTCTGCATGTATTCTTCAGATTTTTCTTCTTTCATTTATGTCTAGAAAACATGTAGAGAGAACACTAACCCTTACCTCTACCAAACTAGCTTTTGAAATAAAATATCACTCAGGTTCTTGAAATTGTTCTCTCCAGGCTGATTTGCCTGTCTTGTACCTGAAACTTCAGATTTGTAGTGAAGAGCCAACGGCGCTCTTACAGTATTGTAGTCATGTTATATTTATAATGCTGAGACTGGACAACCAGAATTTTTTCCATGCAACTCAGATACCAACATCAGTGTTTTCTTGATGTCTCTCACTGACCCTCTCTTGTTAGAGCCATAATATATGATACTCCTCAATACTTGGGTCTCAATGGGATTTATTGGGCCTTTGGACACATTAATTATTTGGCAGATACTCTTGACCAATTTGAAACTGGTAATTTATGTATTACAAGACATAATAATTGAGTCATCTGGTCCTTGGTATCTGATGATTATTCAGCGACCAGAGGAGCACCATGGGCTGTAGGGAGCTGCTTTTTGATAAGGCTATTGAAAGACAACACAATTTAAGATTCAGGTATTCATTCAGGGTCTGTAAATTTTATCATCACAAATTTCCATGAACACTCCCAAAAATCAGTAGCATTTCTTCTAGCACTATTGATTAAACCAAACTTGAAATTAATTTCACAGCCAGATTGTTGGTTGGAAGCTACTAGCTTCAATCATTTTCACCAGGTCAAACTAAGAATCCCAACCCACATTGATTTTTGTGAAGTGAAATTGCAAACAAACCGCAGGGAACTTACATCTTCAAAACAAATCACAAGGATAATCCCACCTACGTCAGTACAATTGTAAGTCTTTCTAGCTGCATATTTGTTTAGCAGTTGAATATTTGAGCTCTTCTCTGGAGACTGGTGATTTAAATTTCTTCTTTTCCATTGACTAATTTCACCTGCCCAAGAAAAAAAAGGCATGTTTTGCTGCATGGTGTTAAGTATCAAACTTAAGAGTTGTATTTCTGAACTAGTACAACAGTAAGAAATGCAATATAAAAAAAAACGATAAGAAATAAAAGTGAAGGTTACCTTAAGTCAGGATCAACAGTTCAATAAGACGCGACAACAACAAGGAAAGAAAAGACACAAGAACATGACTAATGATAAAAGAATGTCAGATGAGAACACGATCCAATCAAGAGAGGTCCAAGACAAGATCAGAACCTACAATGATGGGAAGTTTGTTTGATTGCTGCAAGAGCACGTGAATTGGCGGAGAGTTGAGTAGAAGGGAAAACGTTTGCAAGGAAAAGAGATGCTGCAAGAGTACGTGAGTTGTTGGAGAGTTGAATAGAAGGGAGAACATTTGCAAGGAAAGGAGATGATTTGAATTCGAGGAGAGTGATGATAGTGTTAGGAGAGTAAAAGCCGTTTAATATAAAGAAGAGAGAACAACAGCAATGAAACCAGTTTTAAGAGAGAATATAAAAACAATGATTTAGGTTTCTGGAGTCATGAGGAGGGAAGAAAGATATTTCAAAGAAAGGGAACAATATATAAGTACAATGCGCTGTGATGTTTGGATGATGTCATTCTGAAAGCAACTGATTACATAACCAAGTCTTTATTAGAGAAAATACTGCTAGAGTTTAGAGGGAGAGAGATCAGATCTTAACACATGGGTGTGCAGGCCAATGAGTTGAGCGTAACAAATCCCGCGAGCACCCGTAGGCGTGAGGTGCAAGCAGGGATTATGCCTGACCAACACAAGTCAGCATGAGGCTATGTTGAGAATAAGCAGAGGGTTATTTTTTCAATTTTAAAATTGTTCAAATTTTGACCACTCTCAACGTTTGATCCCAGCTGAGCGCTAGTATGCTGTCTAGAATCCTCTCAGTTCTGTTTCCTGACGGTATTGGTTGTAATTTTTCTATCTTTTTTTGAAATCAGTCGCTTCTTGTAACTTTCTTGGTCTGTTGATATTTTCTCTATCAGCCAATTAAATGTTTAATTTGGCAATCAACCGTTGATAAATAATGCCATACCCTTACATGAAATGGAACACATGTGAAAGATTTACTGGGCATGAACTTTGGAAAAAAAGAGACGGTCTTTGAAAAAAAGAGCACTCCAAAAAAAGGCATGGCCTTGCTAGTCAGCGGCCTCGGAAAATCATGAAACTCAAAGTTTCATGAATTTATTTTATGTTGAGGTGGATACATAAGTAAAGTTCTGAATTGGCAGTTCAATAGAGAAATTCACAAGATTTAAACTGTGAAGAAGAAAAAAAACTCCTTCAAAACTAAGGCCTGCAGGCGCCCAAAACATCAACTGCCACCAAAGCTTGCAGATTCCCTCAAGCCAAACCCCCTCATTATTCCTAAGTCCTCTCCCTGCGGGAGAGTCCCTGGTGCTTGCACACTCGACAAGCGGCTAAAGTGCCCCACACTGCAGCAGGGACACAGACTTTTGATAAGTTTGCCAATGGGTAGACTTACAATTAGTTTGGATGTTGCCTTTTTACTTATGAATCCATATCAGATTACATTGGAGGATAAAGGTCTGTAAATGCCACTCTAAAACCTAAACAATTAAAACTCCTATCACAAACATGACAGAGATAAAAGCCATCACAAACACTGGAATGTTACACTACCCATAACGGTAGTGTAACAATAGTGCAACAGAATCAGGGGGGGAGTGATAATCACACTCCCTCCCCCTTCGCGCACACACTCCAACACTCCCTTTCTGCCCCAAATCAGGGCCATCAGCTTCACAATGATTGCAATGGCCTTTCAATTACATTTTATTTTTTCCTCATTTTATTTTGTTGTTACATTATCCACCGTGACTGAAGGTGGATAAAAAATGAAAAACAAGGTAAATAACACAGATAACTTGTCATTTGTGTTATATTTCTTGGTAACAAGTGGGAAAATCTCCTTGTTACATTGCTTGAAGTTGGAGCCCAAAAACCCAGTCTGTCTGTATAACACTATAGTGTTATCTGGACAGCTGTGAAGTTATGTTACAAAAATTCCTCCAGGTATCAATTGTGGACCGCTATGCTACGCTACACTACGGGCCACTTAGTGTTAGCATAGCGGCGCTAACAGTGGCTTTTTTTTGTGTAGTGTTACCACACCGCTACTGCCACTGCACTGTGCTAAAACTGATCATTTTTTGGTGTAGTGTTAGCACACATCTAGCGCTGCTACGCTGCATTACGCTACTCTGGAGAATTTTAAGCAGCAAAAAAGGCCAAAAGATCTGCTGAAACGCAGTGTAGCAAGCACTTCTTTGTGCCCTATGCGTGTAGCATTAGTGAAGATGCGCGGAATTGTGCTAATGCTACACTTAAATTTAGCACATTTTTGCACCCTGTGCACGTACCGTTAGTGCAGAAAGGTAGAAATGTGCTAAAACTATACTGAATTTTGGCATTTTTTGCTACATTACACCACACTAACACTACAGTTAGTGTAGCTGGCCCACTATTGTGGATATTGTAAAATATGGAAATTCCCAGTTTCTGCATCACTACCATGATCATGAAATCATGATTCCCCTTTCTAAAAATAGATTCACAGGGAGAATTGATTTGTCTATAAATCTGAAGGGAAGTCAGATGAGAAAAAAAAACAATTTATGCCCTTTCAAAAGGGTCTTGGGAAAAAGAGTCCCAAAATTTGGGAAACCAACTCCCAACTTTAGGGGGATGTCTTTGGGACCATCTCTCAACTGTCTTGGGAGTATTCTTCCCAACTCCCAGAAGTGGGATGGGAGTTGTTTTTATTTATTTTTATTTTTTCAATTAACTTTGGGAGTTGGTGTTTTGAAACAGTCCACCAACTCAGGATTTATGTCCAGAATGCCCTCTTGCCAGGTAGGCAGGAAAGCCCCAAGTAGGACAATTGCCTACTTGACACAAGGTATTTCCTGTTGCCAAACAGCTCAGCGGCTTACTTGGAGAGAAGTCTTTCCTCCCTCTTGCCAAGCAGGTCAATGGCCTACTTGGCAAGAGTTCTTGCCTCTTGCCAAGCAGGAATGGCCTACTTGGCAAGAGCTCTTGCCTCTTGCCAAGCAGGTCAATGGTCTACTTGGCAAGAGTTCTTGCCTCTTGCCAAGTAGGTCAATGGCCTACTTAGTTCTTGCCTCTTGCCTAGTGGACGGTCAACCTGCTTGACAAGAGGGTACACTACAGTCAAACCTGTCTTTTGCCTGTAGCTCATCCTTGTAACCACAAAGCAACTTCTTTCCACCAGGTGGTATGTGGTTAGAAGGATTTCGGTAAGACCTCTTGACAAACAGGCAAATCACCTTTTCATTGAGAGAGTGTTCCAGCCACAACTCCCAAGCTCGCAGACTGTTTTAGTCTGCTGACTCCCAAAGTTAAATGAAATGAATAAAAAGGACTCCCATCCCCTTAGGGGAATCGGGAAGACAACTCCCTGGTTGGTCCCAGGCTTGTTGTGAGATGGTCCTGAAGATGTCCCCCAAAAGTTGAGAGTTGTTCTCCCAACACTTGGGAGTTGTTCTCCTAACTTTTGGGAGTTGTTCTCCCAACTTTTTAAAAGACCTCACAGGGGAATCATTCTCCACAGCCTCCAACTTACAAATAATGGGGGAATGGACACAGACCAATAACAAGAGCCCTGTGGCTCTCTGATTTGAATTTTTCAAGCAACACCTGATGTCATCCAAAAGGCCACCCAAATAAGAAGAATTTTGCTACAGTTGCGTATGGCATAGACCAACCATGCCCCGCCCGCAAAATCCAAATTGGACACGCGGGGCCTATGCCCCGACACTTCAATTTTGAACTCCTACAGATGTGTAGAGTTCAAAATTGTAAGCACTAAGCTTTTGAGTGAGTGGTTCATTTTTTTTTTTTCATTTCCACATACAGATAATTGGACAATCACAGATTAAGCAATACTTAAACCCATAGTTATGGCTTTAAGTTATAAATAATCATGGTTTTATACTACTTGTACACCCTTGACATCTACTTTCACTGTTAATCTTCTATTCTAGTGTATTTTTTCTACGATCTGGAGGCTACAAACAGCTCAAAAGGCTGAAAATTTTGAAAAAAATCTGAATTTTTGGCTCAACCATTCGGACATCCTCAAAATCCAGGGTTGGGTTTTGCCGTCCGCAACTTCAGAATTACACAAGTGGAGTCCATGCTAAATTTCTTTGCAGTTTAAGATCAGCATTGCCTTGAATTTTGGCCACCGGGGTACATACATATGTGACCCTCCCTATGCCATGTAGATATCGGGTTTGCTGGCCCAAGCGTGCTATGAACCAAAAGTAATTCCTTTTGACCAAGCTTCTTGCGCAGAACACCACAGAAGATCACCCAACCATCAACCACGAGCGACGGCCAAGCCTGACGACCCTCTTGGCGTGTGCTCCAAAAGGAAGTATTTATGCATGTTTTATGCATTTGCGACTATTCTTCACCTGACTCTGAGCATGATTGCCGAACGCAATTTAAGAACCTTGCTGTCGGCGAACGAATCGCGCGTTGCCGACGGCACACAGCACCGCCAGACTTCGGTCGGAGTTTTCTTACCATCGGATTCATGTTCTTTGGGTGGATCTGCAAGATTCTGCATGCAAACTTCGTTCATCCTGCGTTGTAAAGAGTTATGTGGGATGGAGCACAAGCCTCACAAGCTTCAGTGTATGCTGATTGTCGGTGTTTAGACTTGTAAAGGACGCACATATTTGCTGGTACGTACTTACACACTAGTTATGTATCACTGTTATACACATTTTTACTAAAAAAAATGTGTTTTGTTTGTTCAGTCTGGCTCTGTTTGCGTTCAGTGTGGATTTATTTCAATTAGTTGCCAGCCAGAGAACGTGTGAGCCTTCCCGAGCTAGCTGACATGTCTTTTCATCATGAACATTTATTTATTTATGTAAACGATGCGGATGAACAAGTTTCTTATCCATCGCCCGTCAACGTTCTCTCGATTTTGAGCAGCCTTTTGTTATTGTAGGTTTCCCTTAAACTTGGGAATCGGAAGCCCAACTTCCTTACTTCCCACTTCCGCAAGAGCCAGAACTTTGTTCCCATCGATCGACCGAGTCCGCCAGGCAGAACAGGACCCTGGCAATACCCGCCGTAATTAGCCCATCGGAGTAATTCCTTGTCATCCACACATTTTCTTCAGATCAGATATGGTCGCCTTCAGTCCATCTCGACTAACAAAGCCTTGTTGCTCTCAACGATATTGCCGCAAGGTCGTCTGCGTCTTGTTTGCTCTCATCACCCTGATCCCCACATCGCAATCCGCCACCAACGATTCCTACAGCTACCTTGATCCCAGATTTGTTTACACTCCTAAGGAGAAATGGCATCTCAATAATACTTCGGCCGGCATAGCGTATACCAACTACAGCGGCGCGAAGGTGTCTACTAGCTTTGTTGGTGAGCTCTGAGCTAAAAGAAACCCCAAACATCGGAAATAAAAGCTCAAGCAATTCACCCGCTTAAACGTATCCCCGGAGTTTGTCACTGACCTTTTTCTCCTTTCTAAACGCTTGGATAAATTCTTTGCGAATGCGACGGTTACCTAACACGTGCTACCTCTACGCGGGCGATTCGTGGTTTATTTATTTCGCCTTTTTCGAGTCGCAGGTTCGGCTGTTTATGTGAGACCTAATTCCCCAATCTCAATCCTACCCCTTTCTGTTTTCATATCACTTGAATGTCTTGCTGGGTGCCCACATTGGAGAGGCTACCAATCTTGGCAACATCTATAGAGCAAATCGATGGCAGTGATATCAATGTCCAGATTAAAACTACCGAACCCTTACCAAGTCCGCGGCATGATATGATGAGTGTTGTACATGCAGCTGATTATCCTTGTATCTGTTGTGTTCCTCTATTAACCAAAAAATGACCTAAAGCTAAGTAGCGCCAAGAAACCAAATCAATACACCCTGCAAGTCATCATCGACGATGTAGATAAATACATCGTTAACCTCAATGGCCCTGACACCGAGAACGCCCCCCAAGAAGTTCTATGGGGAGTGCAATTAGTTGAAGGCAACCATACTTTTCAGGCGATCAATCTGAAAGCTGATCCCGACAGGCCATATGTGGCTTTCGCTTCCCTCACAATCACCACCGGACAAAGTAAGTTTAATAATGGGCTGGCTCCTCTTCGACTCACCTTGGAGAATTAAATTTGATTAACAGCATTGACTTTTACAGCAGCAGCGACAAACAGTGCACCGGCGGTAACTTCCCAGCCATTCCGTTCCGTGGCGGAAGTAAATGACGACCATGCTGAAAGGAACTCAATCATCAGAAGAGCCACAGGCGCGGTCGGGGCATTGGTTGGATTTATCGCTCTGGTCTTTATCGCCTATCGTGCACAGCGTCGTCGTCACCAAAGACAACTTCAACAAGGTCTTCGCACTCACCCCCTAGCCACTCAGAAGTCAAACAGGCCAAACCCAGAACCTCCGATGGTCGCCCCCGCGGAAAATCTTCATTACGTTACGATTCGGCCTCAGAGCCCTGCATACACCATCCCAACCACCCACATGGATCCGGCTGGAAGCTTGTTGATAATTTCGGAAGATCGACCTTCACCAGGGTCATCCTCGGAAAGGGTGGATGAGGCTGAGTTCTGGAGACCTCGGAAAACTTCAAATTCATCGCATTAGCTCTGCTCACTGTCGCGAAAATGCAGCTATATTGTTCTCATCTTTTTCACTTTGTAAATTAAAAATCTAGACGGTAGATACATCACTATCATGTTTCATCCTTTCAACACCACTCATTCAGTCCTAAGAAAAAAAATTATCATTCCTCTCTGCGAAGGAAAACACTTATTTTGAATACATTAAACTGCTCATCACCTTTATCTTGATTGTAAATCTTCTGTAATCTCTCATCTTCTCCTTGGGCTCATCATCACAAGCATTTGTTTTTTCAACTAATTATACAGATGGTTAATTTTTCTTTATTACAAGCTCAACAAGCTTTAACCAAAGTGTCTAGTTGTATTTGGCATAACAAAAAATCCATCTTCTCATAATCCCAACATTCTGAAAATTCCCTTTTTGTGTGGCCTTTGGTCTCTTAGTTTGTGTTTGCCTTTTTGGTGTGGCTTTGGCTCCAGATGTAGAGAAGGGCTGTGCCCCTCAAAAAAAAAAAAAAAAAAAACTCCTACCTCTATTAGCACCAGTATTTGTTTCCAGCTGCTCTTATCTGTTATATGTTTCATTTTCACAAAAAAGGCAACTGACTAATCAGTAATTTATTTCTCTTGATATGCTTTCACTTCCTTCCTAATTCCTGTTTATCACCTTTTGGTCAACTGAAGTAAGACATTCACTCTTAAGATCTATGCAGCAGACAACAGAGTCTAATTAGCAACAAGAATGGCAGACACAAGTGAGAGGCAAAACTATTGAGGAGTGGGGTGTGCCAATACTAGAGATGGTCTCAGGGCATCCATTGTGGACACCCGCTATCCGCTGGTGGATACCCGCCAGAGGATGCGGATTTGGGTGCAGATGTCCTCTTTTCCTTGAAATCCTGGCAAATATCTGGGTATCTCCAGGGATGCCCGGATATATAGGCCCGTGGCCGCAGATGTGGGCTGCATTGTATGTTTTTTTCCATATTTTTGGGAGGGTCACAGCAATGGTGCAACAGATACAAGAAATGTATTTGTATTGGGTTGTATGATCTTGATTTTGAGCCTGATACCGTTATCAGTATTTTCTTGGTTGGTGAAAAAATCCATTGTCTCAGGTTTGGATTTGTGAATGAAACAAAAAAATTGTCTTCATTTTTTTTTTTTTTCAATACGGCCAAATATCTTGTGTATCAAAAACATTTTTGGTGGGATCAGTCATCTCAGACAATACAGAATACTTGTCTCACCTTCCAAAGACGATACATGTGTATTGTCTCAGGAAAGTGAGACAACACAAATACTGTATTTTTGGGTATTCAAATTCCAGGAAAGTGAGACAACACAAATCCGGTATTTTTGGGTATTCAAATTCTGAGACAATACAAATAAACGCCTGATACCGTATTGTATCTTCTCTATTTCACCGTTGGTCACAGGCTGCAAGCAAAAAAAGAAAAAAGGGCCTTAATAATTAAGAATGCGGGGTTTCCACGTTTTGCCGCGGTTTTTGCTGCGTGCAGCACACACGGATTCCGCCTTTGAACGTGTTTTTTGTAATGAATTTTTTAACACTTATTTTTTTTATGTCTTTTCAAAATTTTAAATTTATTTGCTAGGTTTTAATATGCGTAGAATTTTATGGTAAAGTTTAATTTCAATAAAAATCAATGGTTCATTTTTAATATTGAAATTAGACCCATCTTTTCACTTGATTCTTTACAGCTTAATTGTCATTATTTTTGGGTCTAAATAAAAAAGTGAGTTTTAGTAGACACAGTTTCTGTCTTTGGACACGTTTTTTTATGGCCTTAATAAAAAAAAAGCAGTTTTTCAGCGTTTTGACGTGGTTTCTACTGCACCCAGCAGACACAGATTCTGCGTTTTGACACCGTTTTTTATTTAATTTTTTTTTGCCTTTTTTTTGAGTTTTTTTGATTTTTTAAAATTGTTCCCTAGGTTATAAAATGCTTAGAATTTAATCGTAAAGTCCATTTTCCATAAAAATGACTTTTGATTACTAATTTTTTTTCCACTCATTTTTTCCATTAATTGTATGCATACATGGTTTTGCCTTATTTTTTATGCTTTTTTGAAAATTTAAATTTATTTCCTAGGTTTTAATACATGTAGAATTTAATGGTAACATCTAATTTTCTTAAAACTCAACGGTTCATTTTTAATACTGAAATTAGACACTTTTTTCAATTAATTCTTTACATGTTATTTCTCAATATTTTTTGACATTTTAAATTTATTTCCCACAATTTATGGAATTTCAAATTCATTTCCTACACTCTGAAAGGTTTCACAATTGATTGCTGTATCCATTTTGCATTCAAATACAATTTGTATGTGGTACATATTATGGAAGGAAAGGGGTACACTCATATATCAAGATTGAAGCTTGTATTTCTAGGGAAATTGGACTTCACCATTCAATTCTGCACATGTTTAAAGGGCGTTAATAAAAACACACGGCAAATCCGTGTTTACACACGGTTTCTGCTGCGCACAGCACACAGGGATTCCGCGTTTAGACCAGTTTTGGCAATTGGATCCTTCGGTCCCAAACCAAAGATAATGGTGTCATTATCATCGGTTTGAAACCAAAGATAATGGTGTCATTATCATCGGTTTGAAACCGAAGAACAAGCAGAGCTGGGTGAGCTAGGTGAGCTGGGTATATGAGCTGGGTGAGCTGAGTGAGCTGGGTAAAAACCAGTTTTGCGATTTTTATATAAAAAAAACAGCCCTAACCCCTAAACCTAAGCCCTAAACCTAAGCCCTAAACCTACCCTATCCCTAAACCTAACTCCAAACCTAACCCTAAACCTAACCCTAAACCCTAAACCCTAAACCCTAAACCCTAAACCCTAAACCTAAACCCTAAACCTAAACCATAAACCTAAACCCTAAACCTAACCTAAGCCCTAAACCTAACTCTAAACCTAACCCTAAACCTAACCCTAAACCTAACCTAACCCTAAACCTAACCCTAAACCTAAACCTAAACCTAACCTAACCCTAAAATCTTTGGTTTGGGACAGAAGGATCCAATTGCCAAAACTCGTCTAAACGCGGAATCCCTGTGTGCTGTGTGCAGCAGAAACCGTGTGTAAACACGGATTTGCCGTGTGTTTTTATTAACGCCCTTTGAAAATGTGCAGAATTGAATGGTGAAGTCCAATTTCCCTAGAAATACAAGCTTCAATCTTGATATATGAGTGTACCCCTTTCCTTCCATAATATGTACCACATACAAATTGTATTTGAATGCAAAATGGATACAGCAATCAATTGTGAAACCTTTCAGAGTGTAGGAAATGAATTTGAAATTCCATAAATTGTGGGAAATAAATTTAAAATGTCAAAAAATATTGAGAAATAACATGTAAAGAATTAATTGAAAAAAGTGTCTAATTTCAGTATTAAAAATGAACCGTTGAGTTTTAAGAAAATTAGATGTTACCATTAAATTCTACATACTTTTGAAAGTAGGAAGCAACTTTAAAACTTCAAAAAAGCATAAAACATAAGGTACACACATGTATGCAAACAATTAAGTGAAAAAGTGATGAATTTATTAAAAAAACGTGTCAAATGCAGCATTCAAGGTATAATTTTCATTTTGGGGAAAAATGGTTGTTACCATCATTTTCTACATGTCTTAAAGTGTTGGAAATATATTTAAAATGTCAAAAAATCATGAGAATTAAGCTGTAAAAATTAAGTGAAAAAATGGGTCTAATTTCAGTATTAAAAATGAACCGTTGAGTTTTAAAGAAATTGGATTGCACCATTAAATTCTACGCACATTTAAACCCAGGAAATAATTTTAAAATTTCAAAAAAGCATAAAATATAAGGTACAAACATGTTTGCAAACAATTAATTGAAAAATGAGTGAAAAAAATAATTAATAATTAAAGGGACTTGGTCAACCGACTCCCAAGAATTGGAGAGTTGACTCCCAAACCCGGGTTTCCCCGAAATTTGGGAGTCGATTCACCAAATCCATGCGTGGGTTTGGGAGTCAGCCCCCAAAAAAAAATTAAATAGAAAAAAGAAAAACCCCAGAGGGGTTGGGTGTCGATGCCCCAAAACCAAGTGGTTTTGGGGGGTCGGTGATCAAAAAAAAAAAAACCAGTGGCCGGGAGGATTCCTCCCGGCCGCGGAGAGTGCTCTCTTGACGGCTGAGAGAGTTTCTCTCAGCCGTCGAGGGTCTACAACCTCAACGGCTGAGAGGGTTTCTCTTGGCCGTTGAGTATAACCCTCAACGGCCGAGAGTTTCTCTCGGCGGTGGAGGGTGTACAGTGCCTAGACAGTGAAAAGTGGCTGCTTATTTTGGATTCCAGAGCTCCAAAACACAAATTTGAAATCATGAGACTTGGTCAGGTGATGCATAATAGGTCCCAAAAAATGAATATGAAATAATAAAAGCAAAAAATAAAGTTTTGAAATTTGTGAAAAATAAAAAATAAAATTGATTTTTTTCAAAAGCTTTGATATTCATTTAGGGGAAGTGGGAGTGCTGAGAGAAAGAAAGATTGGGAAATGAGAAGAATGATTATAAATGAAAATTTTGGAAAAACTGGTTTTCAGATGGCTTCAAACAGCTGTTGAGTGGGGCATTCACCAGCCCACATTGCAGCAAAGCACTAGAATTTACTGTTTTGGCTCCAATCTGGACCACCAACCTGGCTAAACCTTTTTTGGTTCCAATTTTTTTCATTTATAATCATTCTTCCCATGTTCCATTCTTTCTTTCTCTCAGCACTCTCACTCCCCAAAAATGAATATCAAAGCTTTTGAAAAAAATCAAGTTTATTTTTTATTTTTCACAAATTTTCAAACTTTATTTTTTGCTTTTATTATTTCATATTCATTTTTTGGGAGCTGTTATGCACCACCTCACCAAGTGTCATGACTTCAAGTTTGTGTTTCAGAGCTCTGGAATCCAAAATAAGCAGCCACTTTTCACTGTCTACCCACTGTACACCTCAACGGCCAAGGGAAACTTCTCGGTCGTTGAGACCTCTCAGCCGTCGAGGGTGTACCCCTCAACGCTCGAGTCAAATTTCTCAGCCATTGAGGGTGTACACCTCAACAACCGAGAGGGTTTCCTCTCATTCGTTGAGAATGTAAACCCTCAACGGCCGAGAGTGTACCTCCCGGTTGTTGAGGGTATACACTCTCGACGGCCAAGAGGATTCCTCCCAGCCGTCGAGGGTTTACATTCTCAACGACCGAGAGGAAACCCTCTCGGTCGTTGAGGTGTACACCCCTCGATGGCCAAGAGGTTTCACTCGGCCGTTGGGGTGTACAGCCTCGACGGCCGAGAGCTTTCTTTCGGCTGTTGAGGGTTATACCCTTATGTAACGCCTGAGAGAAACTCTCTCGGCCGTCGAGAGAGCACTCTCCGTGGCCGGGAGGAATTGTCCCGGCCGCTTGGTTTTTTTTTTTGATCACCGACCCCCCAAAACCACTTGGTTTTTGGGGCATCGACACCCAACCCCTCTGGGGTTTTTCTTTTTTCTATTTAATTTTTTTTTGGGGGCCGACTCCCAAACCCACGCATGGATTTGGGGAATCGACTCCCAAATCTTGGGGAAACCCGGGTTTGGGAGTCGACTCTCCAATTTTTGGGAGT